GGCAGGAAAATTCACCCCAGAGCTGGAGCAGCGCCAAGGTGGCGCCGGGGTTTCCCTGGGATGCGGCCTCGTCTGCCCGGGCGGAGCGGGGCGGAGGGTCCCTCCGCGCTCCTGATGCCCCGGACCATTACCACCTCCTGCCCCTTTGGTGTTGAATCCTTCCCCCCCCACCCTTAAAGACCACTAGATGATCTTTAAGGTCCCTTCCAATCCAAACCATTCTATCATTCTGTGATTCTATGCTTTTTTCTGGGGCAAAGCTCAGTTCGAAGTAGGGCTCGTTGGAGCGAACCTCCCCTGGATGTGCTGGGGAAAAGCCTTTTAATGGGGTGCGGGTCCGTTTTTGGAAGGAGGGGTTGGATGGAAACTCACGTCAGCAATCTCTTTTTGCTAGGATTTCTTTTTCCTGTTGAAAAAGTTGATGATGGAGCTGAATCATGCCATACAGTGGTGGTTTTTTTGATGTATATCTTTACTCAGATAAGTCAGATGAGGACACAGGTTAGTGAGTTAATTTATCACAGGGAATCTGTCCATTTAAAGTTGCTCTTTCATTTTGGAGATGCTGAAAATCTGCAAGAAAGAAAATTCTATGACGTTTAAAAAATGTCATTTTTTAAAGGCATCTCTGCCTCGTTCAGTATTTTAATGCAATAATGTCAGTATTTTAGCATAATGGAGAAGCTTTCCTTTTATTATCCAAAGTGAGAGAAATACAAGTTAATACTCACAGAATAGTAAAGTGAAGGACACTTCATCTTCCCCAAATAATTACTGTGTTACTACGGGAAGAAAAATGTTGGTTTAAAACATCTCATTTCTAAAATCAATATTTATTTGGTTTTTTTTTTCCTCCTTACTATAAAATAAACAGTACAAGCTGCTGTTGTCAGCTGTATCTTTGTAGTTTGCCATATCTTCAAGTTCAATCTAATGGACCTGCAGAATTGATAAACTGTCTAATTATTTATTAAATATCCTAAAACACTTTTTCCCTCAAGGATTTGGGTTCTTATCCCAACAATATTCAGTCTGAGAAATAGAATCTGAAATGATGTGTGCAGTTCATTCTTACTTGTATTTAAATTGCTGATGTTACTGATCAGACGGTGCTAACTTGCTTTTATTTGTAACAAGGACTGAGTCTGAACTGAGGGTGTGTAGCAAAAATTCTGATATCCCAGTTCTGGTAATATCCTGAGCCGCTGAGCCCCTTATCAGGTGAGCAGTTTCTGCTTGTTTTCCTTTGGTGCCATGTGTTTTTTCAGGCTTTGCCTGGTTGTTAGTGTTGACTTGTTAATACTGTTTTTTTATTGCAGTTCTAAACCTGAAGTAAACGGGAGGAGAAAGTGGCAATGTCTTCTGACACATCAGAATATACTATTGGGGGTGTGAAGATCATATTCCCTTGCAAGGCTTACCCTTCCCAACTTGCCATGATGAATGCTGTAAGTAGAATTTCTATTAACATTTGCTAAACTAACAGCTTATGTTTTCAGAGCCTCCGTTATCTTGAGAACGTCAGTTGTAACGTTGCTCATGTTCTCTGTGCTGCACAATGATATCTGGCCTGTGGCTGGGGAATGCTCAAGTACATTTTGGGTTTGTGAACATTTGTGCTAAAAAACAAGTTACATATTGTGTAATACGTATGAATATTTAACTATATATCCTGTCACAGAGATTTTATATAATTTTGCAATTATATAAGAAGAGAATGATTTAATAAAACAGCTGTCTTAAACAGAATGTAATATTTCAGTAAGTTTTCACTTTTTGGGAGAGTGTTTAAAAGTTAATTACTACACTTTACATTTAAACAGTTTTAACCATTTTAAAACATTTTCTTTTCTGTGGGACAACTGGTTGTCTAACGTGTTTTCAGTGTTTCAGTTCTGTAAGACTAAAGGAAGCAAGCTAGCCCTATCAGGTGTTCCTGTTAGCAGGTATATATTTTACAACCCCCAGAAGTGAACCTCTGAGCATTGCTAATTCCTCTTGAGAGAAATACTGCTAAGGCTTGTTGACCTGTTGTTATTATTAAAGGTGATCTGGGACATGGTTTTGGGGGGCTTTTTTGGTTTTGGGGGGTCTTTTTTTACAAGACAGCAGGTGTCCTGCTCTATTTTTTAGAAGTTATTTCTAGCTTAGCTAAAGACATCCTCTTTGGGTTTTCTTTTTCTGTTAATTCTGATTTTGTTCTTGTTATTCTCCTTAAAGATTGTTAAGGGCTTAAATAATAGGCAACACTGTTTGTTGGAGAGCCCTACAGGAAGTGGCAAAAGCTTGGCGTTGCTTTGTTCTGCATTATCATGGCAGCAGTCTCTGTATGGTAAGTTGTCCTAGTGTCTGTTTGCCCAGTATTTCATACCAAAAGATATTAGAATGAATTATTGTTGTTTATCAGCCCTGAAACACTTGGCTTCAGGAATCTCACCAGCTCTTTGTCCACCATTATAGAAATTGCCTTTTTGGCAACAAAAAACTGTAATGGCCAGTAATACTAAGCTGGATTTAGCTATCTACTATTATAAAAGAATTATATGGGAGTTGGAACCTGGAAGGAAAATAATTGTGGATTGTAATTATCCAGATTAAATTTTAAAAGATGGATATTTTTCATTTCTCCAAGTTGTTACAGTTCTTTGCACTGCAGTTCTAATGATGATAACTTGTTCAGACTTTATATAGACATAAGGTTTATAACTGGTACCTGAACTAAAGCTTTCATTGTTAAAACTTAATTGTTCTGAAAGGCAAGTTCTCGTGACTATAGTCTTGAGTAGTTTTTAATGGAAGACAAATGACTGTGTCCTTTAGAGAAACTGCTGCTTCCATCATCTGGTGAACAGGAAGACAGAAAGCCAGAGCCCTCACCAGCGTGTCACTGCATGTGTCATTCCCAATTGAAGAGTGACGAGGCTGCAACAAGTGTGAATCATGGTGCTGCTGCTTCTTTTAATGATAATGAAACAGGAAGTTCCATACAACCTGGAAGCCCGCTAAAAAACACAGGTAACTTCATATGCAGGCAGCTAAAAATCTGTTCTGGAAGCGAAATCCATAGCCAGTGATGTCAATTTTTTTGCTTTCAGGTCAGAGACTTTTTTTGTCATCATAATAGCAGAGTACAAAGTGATTCTGCCCTGCATGGAAATCTGTATGAGAATGGTGGTTAATGTGTCTAGAAATGTCTAATACTATTTCCTACATCAAGTGTATTTATAGTCAATTCTATTTTTAAAATGTTGCCCTTATTAATGCATTCCTAGTAGTGGACATACCATTTTATTTTATTTTATTTTTAGTTACAGAATGTAAGGAAAATGAAACGCTAGCTTCGAAATTGTCTGCCAAAAAGAGGTTATCTCTGTGTGACGGTGAGAATGATGATTTTCAAGTAGACAGAAAAAGGATTCGTCGTTTAGAAACTGAGCAGCAGGTGAGCAAAGTTTATTGGCAGGAAAATAATCCAAGTGTAGCTCAATAAAGCTGTCAGATACCAATCAACATTTCAGAGAAGGGGCAGAGAATAGCTGAGTCATGTCACAGGCATAATTTAGATTGGCAGGTTTTTGTGCATTTTTATTGTTACTTGTTACAAAGGAGTCCATTGTTGCACTAAATTGCTCGTAACACCATGTCCTAAATTACATCTTGCATATTTAAACACCTAATATCCCCAAAATATATTTATCCCCAGTTGATCTGTAATATTAAGTCCAAGTATGAGATTCTGTTTTATATCCTGTCAAATGTAGTTATCTCTGGTCTAAAATATGTGGAGTGCAATGTCAATATCCCACAACATTGCACTTGTATTCAGATGTGCACAGTAAATAGCTTTTGCATTGCTTTAGAGTATTGCTTTTGTTTGAGTAATACTTTTAGAGTATTTAGAGTATTACTTTTGTTGAAGTTTTTTAGATCAATATGGCTGGAATGTATTTTTTGGTTTAGTTATGGAAATTTTCTGCTTTTATCTATATAGTATTTAAATTTCTGTCAGTTTTGGAACAGTGGGAAATTAAAGAAAAGATTGGCAATAATTTTTGGTGGTGGTGTTACTGAATTTTGTAATTAAAACTTCATAGCTTTTTCCCAAATGACTTTTGTGTGGCTTAGACTTGGCCACTGTTAATGAATATTGGTGATGCAGTGTGTTTACAGAAACAGATACAGTGCAAAACAGTCGACACAAAATCTCTGACTGCCAGTGTAAGCACATAGTTCTGTCCAGCCTATTTGAACGTGGTACTTTTTCCCCAGCAGGTCAGAAAACGTCATTGTTTTGCAAAAGGAGTGCAGTTTATTGATGCTTTAGAAGTTTATAATCAGAGAAAAAATGGAGAGCTGATTGTTCACTCGGAAAAAAGTGTGAAAACCACTACTTTTTCTCCCAAAACAGTGAGTAATGTAGTAATATCTTTTACATCAGGACTGTTAGTTCAAGAGCAATTTTAAAAAATATATATTTTATGTAAAGAGAATCTGGCCCAGCAATTCAGCCTGTAAATGTTCAACATGTGACAGCAGTTGTGCAGCAGATATAAACCTGTGTGTTCTATTCCAATTTATGTAGATTTATGACATTACAGAAGAACTTGAACCTGGGACCATGGAAGTTGACATCAGAGTTTGTAGATTTTGTTCAATTTGCCATTCGTTGTTTTGGGGCATATGTAGTAAATGAAAGACAGCGTTTAGTATTAACATGTGTGCCTTTTATGCCTTAAAAAAGGAGTAAGGAGAAAGTTGGAGCTGATCATTATGATATATTATAACAAAAAATGAGTAATAAATACTGCACATGATTAAGAAGAAAAATCCTGTTTGTTACTGTCCTTTGTTTTGTTTTGTTTTGTTTTTTAATTACCACAGAAGTATCACGTAAGAAATGTAGATACAAACATGCAGCTGCTTCTGCAGCTTTCTGCTAGGCTCTTTCTGCATTTCTTGGTGTTTGAATCTTCCTGATTTTACATGAAAGTTTTTGTTGAAGCAAAACCAGTCGAAGAACAAATCTGAGGCAGTAGAGACAGGAATGTCAGATGTGAAATTACATTAGTGATGTTGTTCCCATGAATGCTGAGCAAAGGCTGTGACAGAATGGTTTATGTCAATATTAAAATATAGCAGAACACCATGAAATCATGAAATTGTGTGTTTGAGACAAATATAAGAAAGGAGCGAGGTCTGACCTTTCTTTCTTTCTTCAGTACAGAAATCTACTTTCTTCTTTCAAAAGGCAAAGAACATTTTCCCTTTCCACTATTTTTTAGGTGGTGTTTTATGGTAATACCCATCTGTAGGTAACTCTGCTTCGAAGTACAAGGTTTTATATCCATGTTTGGGAATGTGCTTGGTTTCAACAAGCAGTTTAATTCTCTTTCCACCTCTTCCAACAGCATTTAGCTCTGTGTGTATCCCAAATTAGCTTCTGTTTTAATCGGTGTATGTTTTAACTTCAAGAGCTGTTTCCCAGTGTACTACGCTTTTGGGTTATTTTTTAAACACAAAAGGAGCCAAAAGCTTTGATATTACTTGGCAAAAGTGAATCTGTGTTCTAGGACATTTGATGCAAAATAACTTTTATTAGTTTTGGAAATCTCCATAGATTTTTTTTTTTGAGTAAGATTTGAAGTGCTTTGCACCACTGAACTTCAATTGGTAGTTTGAAATACAAAGGCCAGCAGAGTGTGCTGTTGATTCTCAAATAAAAAGACTTTTCTTCCTTCCTTGATTATCAGGTTTGCTTTGGCACTTTAATGTGGGTATCTGAAAAATGTGATTTACAACTTCTAGAAATTTCATGTATTGAAGAAAACTGAAAACTTTTATTATAGATCAACTAACTGCTAAATAATAAAATATTGAATTGCAGTATGATTTTTCTGAGAAAACTTCATTTTTTTTTTCCTGTTACAGTAGTTGAGCTGTACATGAGTGTGTTGTCATGTGCTATCCAGGGGTCTGGTTTTGCAGATAGACAGTACAGTATGCTGTTCAAAGTTTAAACACTCTACTACTTCTTTAGAAAGAAGTAACCTAAGAAGAAATACAAGTATTTATTTCTGTTAAAGTGTCTTTTTAAGAATGAATGGAGTGTTTATTTCTTTGTAAAAAAAGTTTATTTTTAAGAATGACAGAATAAGGTATTCTTTTCCAGACTGAGAACTTGTCTGGTGTCAAGAAGCAATTGCAGAAAGTAAGGCCTTATTTATCATTAGTAGTTCTGCATTAAGTTTCAGAGAGGAGAGCATCACAGCATAGGCTGTTAGGTATAGAAATGCTTTTCTAGTGAAGCTTATGAAATAAAGTCAGCTGAGATTATGTTCAACACTTAATCATAATGGACTGATGATACAATAATCATCAAAAGTATTTTCTTAATCAGTGAGGTAACCCTGCCTTTGTATAACTTGTGTTTTACTCTAGTCAATCCTGTACTTAAAGCGAATTTAGTTTCCTGTCAAGTCCTTTTTATAGCCTGAGAGAGAGAGAATGGGTTGGTTGTTGTATGAGAGGTGCTGCCCAGCGTTGCTGCATCAGAGGAACACCTGTAGATCAGTGGGTGAGGATCTTCTGCCCGAGGTGACTGCCTGTTCTTAGCTGCTTTCATCCCAGAGCCTGGGAATCCATTTCTGTCCTCCTGCTGTTAATTCTTGTGAGAGAGAGCAGTTCTGGTGTGAGTTTAAACTATAGCCTTACAGTACTTTCTTGATTACTTCTGTCAAAGCATACGGTCTGAGAAACTGGGGCAGCTGGGTTAAGGAATCCCCATTTATACTTGGTAAAGAAAGTAAACAGTAAATGGAGAGTAGTGTAACAAACACTTGGGGTATCAAAAAACAGCTGTGAAAAGAATCTGTCTTAATGTGCTAGCCCATTGCAGTTTAACATATTGCTTACAACCTTCACAATGGAGTTTGGGTGACTTCTGTTACACATTCCAGGAGACTGGCAGCCTGTTACAATCAGGGTCTGGACTCCAGAATAGGCTAATTTACCACGATGGGATGAAGAAAGTTGTGGATTTGTATTACACGCTCTCACCTGACACCGTATCTGATTTTTTTTCCTGCTGATTGACATTTTGAATGAGCTCTTTGAAGCAAGTTCCAGCTTAATTAAAACGTTTGCTTGGTTAGCAGTGATCTGTGAAAGCCTGTGATAAATATTGAACTGGGTTCACCTGCTGGTTACTGTGAGAGGATAAACAGCTGCTTTGTGTACTTTAATCAAGAGGCTGCGGCAGCAGCAGAATACTGTGCTTTTTGAGAGCTTCTAAAGGAATTGTTGAAAAGCCCTGGTAATGTCACTGCTGATATCTCACTAGATTGTGCTTGTGTGATACTTCACACAAGAGGTATTCACTGCTGTATCATTTAGATGGCTTTGTAACTGGAAAAGGTAGATGAAGATATGAAGAACAACTCTTATCTCTTTGTGTTTCAAAGATCATAGCCTCGGTGTTTGTTTAGCTCCATTTTACACGTAGGACAGGTTGGTGAACTTGATTATTTTTTTCTTAATCGGACTTCCACGTTTTTGCCATATAAATATTGATGTGATACGCTGTTTTATCTGCCTCCTGACAGAAGTAAAAACAAGCTGGATTAGCCTAAGGTCCATATAGTCTGGTATCTGATCTCTAACAGCAGCTGTTACTGGATGTTTCTGATTAAATACTACAGAAAGTAGAAAGATATCTTTCTTTTTTTTTTTAACCTCTCTCCCAAATGAAAATCTCTGTCCCAGATTCAAACAGCTGAAAACAGGTTTAGTTCTGAAGCCAGAGGGTATTATGAAATAGTTTTCTGTGGTCTTAATACTTCTATTCGGCCTCCCCCCCAATTCTTTAATAAATAAATTGAAACATTTTCTAATGTTATTGTAGTTTAACCAGTATCTCTGCATTATGAGTCTAAAAATTTGTACTTTGAGGCAGCACTGCTATGGGAGCTGCCATACTGGAGTTACCACTCTGTTCAGCTGGCAAGTGTTCTCTTTCCTTTTGCTGTAGTAATGGGAGATTAATACCATCCCATATTTTGCTATGGGATATCAACTTTAAGGTCTTTTTATAGAAATATAGAATTAAAGCAGTTTGGTTTTAATAAAATTTAAAGATTTTCAAACCATTTTCTAAAGGGTAACAAGGAATTCAAGTGCAAGTTGATACCCTTGAATAATGTACAAATAACATGAAGAACTCAACTTTTAAACTGTTTTAACCATTTTCATAAAGTTTCTCTTCATTATAAAGAACATTCTAAAAATGTTTTATTTATTTATGTATTTGTGCTAATGGTGTCTGTGTCTCTCAAAAGAGTTATGACTACTGCAGGCAGTTTTACTCTCTTACTAGTTACTATAACATCAGGCTGAGTTTACAACTCTCTCAATGTTGATTTTAAAAAAAAACAATAACTTTTTTCAAAGTTAAAGGTAACATTTTAAAACTGGAATACTGGGTTAATTGTTTCTTAAAGCCAGTGTTATACCAATTTAAAACCTTTTAAGAAAATCTTTTAAGGCCACCTGTAAAATAATTTATAAGCCTTACACAAAAGAACACTCTATTAATATTTTTTTTAATGAAAATAAATAGATCTGTGAGGTGTTTCTTCAAACCCATCATAGGAGAGCCTTTCTGTTCATGTTTACATATCTATTTGAAGTGCATTTTCCTATTGTTAGAGCAACTTTTGCAAAATAGCTGCCTGACTGGTCCTAATATTTTTCTATTACTTTTATTTGGCAAGCCACACGTGAGGCTTGACACGAGCAGTGAAGTACTGATGATACGGTGTCTTGGAATTCTGTATATTCTTTTTGCCTCTGAAAACACAATCTGCCTTGAATTAACATGAAAAGATAAATGTATTCTTAAAGGCCCTACACAGTCAGTAAACTGCTTCTGTTCTATTAATTGTTAACACGGTAATGTGTTTTTCATTATTTCAAAGAGCCAAATAGAATATAGATGATAGAAATGCCAAGGTACAATTTGCATCGCTGTGTTCTGCGTGAGTACAAACCCAGCATTGCCACGTATGTAACATATACCATATGTCAGCTGTTTCCTGCTTGGCTGTTGACAAGAGCCCCATTCATAACTCTTCTTTTTATCCTTTCAGTGAATAAGTAATTATCCAATATAGAAGGCAGGATATTTGGAACTGGCTATTTAGTGTGGCAGCACACCGTAATGAAACCTGCCGTTACTGGCAACCTGAGAGGGGAATGTAACAATTCCAGCATGGCTGTAACTTTATCTGCTTCCAGGGCCTGTTGATTTGGCACATCAGTGAACCTTTTATCCCTGTGAGTGACAGCTCCAGCGGGGTTACATTTACCTCCATTCTATCATGTCTTGTAATATTTAATGGCGGACAAGGCTGAGTGGGACTGAGGGTAACGTGAACTTGCTTTTCCTCAGGGTGGAGGCTAAAAGACAGCTTGATCCCCAGAATTGTGGTGTAACACACAGCATGACTTAGTGATTGTTTATAATGGGTAATCTTACTGATTACAATTAAAAGGGGAGGGAGGAGTATTTGAGTGGACAACTGCATGTTGTTACTTGCACTGTCACCCAAATACAAACTCTTTTACACTAGAATTCATTATTTTTTAAGGGAGGTGTGTGTGGACATGGTTACTCATGAGTTATTTGTTTTCTATCTGTTCTTCACACTAATTATTATAATTTCATAACAGTTGTTCCGGTATTTATATTGTGAAAGATGGTGCTTTTCAGGAAGGAAAATAGCTTTTAACAAATATTTTACAGGATTAAGTTCTGTTTGGAATTATTCCTTATGTGTCTTTGTGCTTGTAGTTACTAGATGGCCTTTGACATAATGCCATGGCAAACATGTTGCTAGTGGAGAGTATATCATGGAGTCTATTTTATCTGCAAACAGAATTCTTCTCCTTGCTTTAAAGAAAAATGTTCTCAGTATTTTAATTTGGGAGTCTGGTCCCAAGGTTTTCTTAATTGAAGATGGTGGATACTTCTTGTTCTGTAACAGGAGTCTCCTTATGCTGAAGCTTAAATGTAAGAAGTTTATTTGCATTATTCACATGTGTAAATCCTCCACTGGAATAATAATTCTTTCTACGATTGGGTTATGATGAAGTTGTATCTAGTGATTCCTAGAAGTGTGTTAATCTTTTCAGGCACAAGGACATGGTGTGTATGCTTTAATGTTTTTCAACTTTTTGCAGTTTGATAGATCAGCCTGGTGATTTAACAAGCTGTCTTCAACTATCCTAGAGGGCATTTTCTAAATAGACCATAAGCAGATTTAGCAAGTTCATCTCACCATGGGATTTTGTTAATCTTTTTTTGTTTTGGGTTGCAGTCTTCTGGTCCTTGCACTGAATGTTCCTGTTCTTCTGGAAAAGAAACTAATAAAGATTCTAGTAACACAAAGAAGAAAGAAAATGGAGACCGACCATTCATTCCCAAAATATTTTTTGGAACACGAACACACAAGCAAATATCCCAGATTACCAGAGAATTGAAGAGAACAGCATATTCCAATGTCCCCATGACAATTCTTTCTAGCCGGGATTATACCTGTATTCATCCAGTGGTATCTAATAGTGGTAGTAACAGGAACGAAATGTGTGTAGAATTGCTGGAAGGAAAACATGTGAGTAATTTTGTTTCAAAAAAAAAATGAGCATTCATTTAAACATAGTAAAATGAAAAGTAGTTGAACAGTTGGAATGAGTAACGTTTGAGTTCTTTATACTGTGTTGGTTAAAAGCCTCTGGTAATTTTAAATTAAATGTTAATTGTTAGAAAATGTTGATACGTGGTATCAGTACCTTAAAAATATATGATAATAGGAGTAATATTTATGACTGTTAGGTTAATGTTCTTAGTAAGACTTAAATGTCTTTGGTTTTATAGATGAAGAAGAAAGATGTGTCCTTTGTCTATGTACATGGATTAGCCTGTTTTCTTTCTGATATGATGTGTTTAATTGTCTGACATAAAACGTAGCTGTTAGAAATGCTTCCAGGAGATAATGTCAAATGCACGTAACATCTTGGAGGATTTCAGCTTACTTAGTTTTTGTTATTTTTTTGTAACCCACTAACTATCTGTGCTTATTTGCTTTCAGGGTAAATCCTGTCTTTACTATCATGGTGTTCATAAACTCAGTGAACACCATGCCCTACAGTCTGCACATGGGATGTATCAGGCTTGGGACATTGAAGATCTAGTGAGCCTGGGAAAGAAGCTTCGTGCCTGTGCATATTTTGCAGCCAGAGAACTCATGGTGGGCGCAGATATTGTATTTTGTCCATATAATTATCTCCTAGACCCGCAGATACGGGAGAGTGTAAGTATATTTATAAGAAAGAGATTGCAATTACTGAAGTTAAAGGGAAGTTAGAAACATAATGTTCAGTGGTTATGGTCAAATGAAATCTGATTTATATCCAAAATATTATCTACAAAATAACTACTGGGCTAAAGAATTTTTTCTCTCTTCCCCCCTCTCCTTCCATCCACCAAAATGCTCTTTTTTAACAGGATCCTGTTAGCTGTTTCTCATTAATGTCTTTCACTCTGTTTTTACTAGATGATAATTTTCTTTTTTAGATGGAGATTAACCTAAAAGGCCAAGTAGTCATTTTAGATGAAGCCCATAATATTGAGGACTGTGCTCGGGAGTCTGTGAGCTATGGTGTTACAGAAAGTCAACTAATTGCTGCTCGAGAAGAGCTGGATTTCATGGTCAATAACAACATCAGGCAGAAGGATCATGAGGCCTTACGGGGTGTGTGCTGCTCTTTGACAAAGTAAGGCAACTCTTTCTAATTCCATTATATCAATTAGTATTTTAAAAAATTACATTTAGATTCCTTTTGCTGGTGCAGTTTACTGATACGATGTTGCAGCAGAGGTGTGCTTCAAACTGTGCAGTCGCCTGATTTTTATTCATTTGAAAAATCCAGAGGGTTTTGATCTTTTTATAAAAATACTCATCTTACTCAAAGGGAAGCACTGAAATTCTGTTTTGAAAAGTACACATGCTCTGTATTTTGAAGTGTTGTGGAAATGACAGCTGTCTTTCTGATGCCTCCTGCTGGTTGATGAAACAGACAGCTTCGGCATTTCCCGAGACCAAGGAAGCCTGCCTGCTTTTCTAGACCGAGGGAAGGTCTTGAGAATACTGCAGGGATGATGAAGGACACATTCAGTTAGAGAAATCTTTAGCTCTGCCACAAATGAGATGATCTGCATGTCGAGATCGGGTTTTTAGAAAGTCCTATCACATTTTTGCATTGTTCATACAATTATAATTCTCCTTCATTTTCAAGTTGTAGCAGAGTTACAAATACCTGTAGGTAGGTTAAAATAAGCACTATTGATTGCCCCTCTCCCTTACTGTGTATAAATACAAAAGTACTCATTTCCTGCCTCAAGATTTTTTTCTTAACAAGAAAGTCTGCAATTGACACGGCTAATAAACTAACTTGCATCAGTTAGAGTCCTAATAAGTGGCTTTAAAAAGTATAGCAGAAATCTTTCCTAAATGAGCCTGATATGTTTTATAAGAGCAGATTATATTTTAATCCTTTTTCTTTATTGTATTTATATGATGATTATTGTTATTATATTATGATAAACTATAAATGTATAAGGACAGATTTCTTTCTCACTTCAAGAGCAGTTCCATAGAAGTTAGTTCAACAGTGGAAAAACTGGCATGAGGAAAAGCAGAATATCTCTGCTTAGATGTAGTAAAGTATTTATCATCATCATCAAAGTCTGCAATTTTTGAGATTTGATGTGGTTTGTACCTGCAAAAAATCTCCAAATATCTAAAGTTAATGCTGAGATTATTTTTGATTTCTCTCTTTTTACAGCTGGTTACGAGAGAGCTCTGGTCAACTAGTAGAAAGAGGGTATGAAACTTCCTGTAAGGTTTGGAGTGGAAAAGAAATGATCACCATTTTGCACAAAATGGGAATAACTGATATTGCTTTTCCCATTTTACAGGTAACATATGCTATATAAATGAGTACCAGAGTACATAATATTGATGATGTTCAACATCTTAAAATGTACCTAAGTTAAATGCTAATGCATCTTTTAATTTACTGCAGTAGTGAAAAGCTGTCTGAAAATGATACCTGATGAAAACCAGGAGTAATCCACTTGAGCTACTGAAATTCGTGGAGAATCCATGTTTTAAAGGATATAACTGATCATGTACAGTTATTTAAATTGAACTATTGAGTCACTGCTAGTTTTGTCTGATCTATCCATCTGCATTTTTATTGCCTGTTGAAATGTATTTACCATATTTTCAAGCTTATCCCTCCTTGCTGTGTAAGCCAAATATGTTAAAAGTGTTGTTACCTTTCCTTTCTAGTTCTGTCTTCAGTCTGACTTTATATTATCTCAGGTGAACTTTGAAAACTCCGTGCTGATAATCTTGTATCTGTATTAGCTTTGGTTTTGAGAAGATACTTAGAATGTTGTTCATGTGGAATTTGTTTGCCTCTTACAGAAACAACTTGCTGCTATCCTGGAAAAAGAAGAAAAAGTATCAGTGCTTGGTAGAGAGGAACTTATTGAGATACCAGTTGTGAGCCCTGCCACTCAGATTGTGCTGAAAGGGTTATTCATGGTTCTTTTATGTCTTTTTAAAGATAAGAGCAGGTCAGTGCAAATCGATAACCTGAGCTGTGTGGTTGTGTTTGATTCAGCTGCTTTGCCAAAATGACTCATTTGTGCAACACCTCGGTTATGGTGTCTGGCTTCTTAGCAAAATGAACACTTCAGAAAGCTTTGGAAAATCTGTTTATGTGGGAAGAATTTAAATACTACCAAATATGGTTTTTTATTCATAAATTAATTAAAATATTGAAGAAATTTATTTGAAGATTAGATGTAAATTTTCCTGATATGCTGCCAAGTTAAATATGCATGGGCTTTGTTTTTCTACATATCACTTATCATTTGACTGTCTTGATAGCTTGAATATTAATACCAGCAGTTGCTAAAAAAATCTGATTCAAACCTTATTTTAAATATTATTTTAAATTTTTAACTGTTTTTTCAGAAAGTTTGAAATTATTTTTATACTTAAATTGTAAGTGCATTGTACCAACACTGTCTTTGCTTTGTATGAACTTCCAATTTGATTGTTAATTGTAGTTTTTATTTCTATATCCCTCTATAGGTATGCAGATGACTACAGAGTTGCCTTACAACAAACTTATGCTTGGATGAATGAAAACCAACTTGATGTTTCAGATTCGAGTGCCTTGTTTACACGACCCAAGCACAAGAGGAACTTGCGGCAGAAAACTGTGGTCCACATGCTTAATTTTTGGTGCTTGAATCCTGCTGTGGTAAGCTGAGTGTGAAGCAGAAGGCCTTAAGTAATTTGAGTGCTAATAAATACATTTAAGATCTTAAAGTAGTTGTATTGATTTTCTAAATTCTTTCTTTCTCCACCCTAGGCTTTTTCAGACTTAAGTGATGTTAGAACAATTGTTCTGACATCTGGTACGCTCTCTCCGATGGATTCATTTTCTTCAGAGCTTGGTGTGAAATTTTCTATTCAGTTGGAGGCAAATCACGTTATTCGGAACTCACAGGTAAACTTTTGCATTGTTGATCCCTCTCTTGCTCCCCTTGTTGCTGGCTGTTGTAAAAGAAAATAATGAATTCCAAATAAAAATTATGATGGACCCATTCCATAAGTAAAAAGAAAGGTATAGAACGGGTTGGATTATTGCTTGGATTAATGCAATTGCAAAGCACCTTTTCAAAGGAAAAAAGGGGCAATTATTAGACACATACTCCTCTGAAAAGGTTGAAGTCGTGCTATTTTGATAATAGCCATTTTATATCAGTTATTGCACTTTTCCTTCTGTTTTTAAGTGTTGGAATTAATTTGTTTAGAAATATCTTGGTATTTTGCTTCACACTTAAAATTTCATTATTTAGTCTAATATAATTTAATACAGTTTGTGTCGCGTATTTTAGAATTCACTTTTTAATATGAAATACACCAGGTTTGGGTTGGCACCATTGGAGCAGGTCCTAGTGGTCGGAAGTTGTGTGCCACATTCCAGCATACAGAGACCTTTGAGTTCCAAGATGAGGTGGGAGCACTTCTCCTTTCAGTGTGTCAAACTGTCGGCCAAGGAATTTTGTGCTTTTTGCCATCCTATAAGGTAAGGAAGTCTTAATTCATATTCTTCCTCTAAAAAAAATACACTCCACTTGAAAATGAACTGTGTAATCTTTTGCTTTATGCATCAGCATATATAAATGTTTATAAAATAAAAGCATTGTAATAACACATTGTGGTTATATTGTATTGTAACTTTTTGGATGTCATATTGGCTGGCATGCAAGTTTGTTTCAATGAAAAAAACATGTTCATACTTGTTTTCAACAGGTGTCTGTATCAGTTAATGAGAACAATTGTTTAGTTTTACAAAAAAAAGCCAGATTGATCTGCATTCTGCATTTTTTTCTTAAATTGTTTCACTAAATATTTTGAAATTAAAAAAAAAAAAAAACCCAAAGCAACCAAACAACCTCCTCAATATAAGCACACATCGTGAAAGGAAACTTTGTGTGTATGATTCAGCAGCAAGAATACCTTTGCATGTTCTTTGTATGCTGTTTGAATGCAGTATTCATCCAGTTAATTTCTGCTTTCCTTGTTTCATGTTCCATTTCACTGCTTTGGAGATTCTAGTGTATTTTTCTTGAGTTGGGGGGAATTGCTCACTGGCATTAGCTTGAAGGAATCAAATTTCTCAATTTCCAACTATGTAATATCTAATTTCACTGACAACAGATATCTAATTATGGTTAATCTGTACCTCACAGGAGTTCTGATTTCTTCTCTATTAGTTCTTACTGCTATTTATGGTCACCTCTGAGGAACAGGAATATAAACCTGGATTATAATTCTGTCATTCATGCCCATTTTTCTTCTAATGCTTGCAAGAGTGTGACTTTTTAAATTTTAAACCATCCTTTATGATTTTTAAAATACCTCTCAACAAACAAAAGAAAAACTTCTCAAAAAAACAAAACCTAAAAAATCTTATCAAATGAAGAAAAAACCCAGCATAATGGAAATAAACATTCAGACAATTTCCCTCATCTCTAAGGTTCCTTAACAGAGAATATTTTAAAAAGTGAAATAAAACTGATTTATTTTTTACAAAACCTTCATGTTAATTTTATTATTGAACTGAAGAGGCTGCAAACAAGGGTTTGTTCTTCACTGAGTGTCTGTAGCTGTACAGTCATCAGTGCAGTTACTGACAGTAACCATTAGGTGACCACATCAGACCAGGTAACGTACAATCACTGAAAAAAGCAGATTACTGACTGTAAATTCATTTAACCTGGATCACAAAACTCTGCATTTATATAGGGAATTAACAATCTGAAAATAAATTTTGCCTTCAATATATTTAAGAATTGAAATGGGAGCATATTTTGGTTTTCACTATCATTATTCTTTTACTAAAGTGTATAATGTTGAACAGTGTGTGATAGTTGATCTTATATATACAGTCCTGACAAATATTTATGACAATGTTTGAGAATAGTGATCTGAATGGAAAGCATAGAGAGACTTTGTAATGACATTGAATAAAGAAGGAAGGAGATTGCTGGACAGCTCTGGTGCCCTTCCCCCTCTCACTGCCCTTACCTTTCACTGAAAGGTCACTTAGCTAAACACGTTGAGTGTTTTTTTTTCTTTGTGGGAACACTTCCATGATCCTAGCGAAAGTATTGATAAATATAAATTGCAGACAATTGAAGGATGATATTTTAAAATCACATTGCCAATATTTTTCTATGGATGCCCTTTTTCATTCTACTTCTTTTATTCTGGATTGGGTTGCCTTTAAGTCTGAGATTAATATGTTGAAAACACAGAATAATGTAACCGTAAATATATTAGTACAGGGAAAACCAAGTATTTTTCTATCATCATCATACAGAGTATTGCTTTATCTGCATATTTGCATTGCAAAACTGATTTTCAGAGATTTTCATGGGGAAATTGCTACATCTCTTTTTAAAAAACTGCAGCTTTTAAAGAAATTGTTCAAGGCTATCAAGAGTTGATTAATATACATGGTCACGTACCTCAGTAACTAGAAAGAGCTCAGTGCAGTTTTGTGGGAAAAGCCTGCCACCTTGTTATCTATGTATAATTTTGAATTACTAGGTGCAGTGTGAGTACAAAAAAAGCAATAGTAGATAAACTTGCTATTACCTTAATCAAGTATTTGAATAAACATATTTTTCATGGGAGAATGTTTAAAATACATGTATGGTAAATATCCAAGGTTAATAATGGAGTGGAGGAAAATGTATGGATGAGAAGAAAACAGTGCATGAGATATTCATCCTCCACATTCAATAGGTGTCTGCTGATTCAATGGAATCATCTACAATAACATACAAATTTTTACTGTCATCATTGGAGTTCTGGCATACTGACTTCTTAAAAAATAAGCTTAATCTTAACATTTACTAAATTGCAAACCTAGATCATTTTTAGGGCTACTAAAACTGGTGATACTATGCAGCAAAAATGCATTTATGTGAAAATCAGTAGCAACTCCAGCAAAAGCACTCTATAAAAGAGAATATCAGAAGGTGAAAAGATTACTCAGAAATCTTAGATGCTTTTAAACAAGATTAAGATAAGAACCATTAGGGTTCACGTCGCCGACCTGTCTGCATTAAGATATATCTTGCCTGGTGCCTGCATCTTGGATGATTCATTCAATATGTGTCATATCAAAGTCAAGGTATCCAGCAAGGAGAAAAATGCTAATGCTTATAAATTTTAGTCATAATCCATCATGATGAATTAACTGACCTTTCTTTAGTAGCTTTTTTTACAGAATAAGCTTTGGACAATAATGTTAATGTTGGTGTTTTTGTTGTTTGGTTGGTTGGTTTTTTTTCTGTGAGGCACTGTTGGTTAATTTGCATCTGCTAATTGTTGAGCCATAACTTGGAAGTAAAATTTTTAAAATGAGATAGTTGCTCAAAAGGCTTTGAATGCCTCTTTTCATCACTAAAACTTATGAACTGATAAGTATTCTTTGCTTGAGAATCCAAGATTTGTTCACTACTGTTTTCTTTTTCTCCTACACCTTTAAGATACAGTGTTCTTTGATTCAGATTAATCGTATTTCTTTTGTATCTACTTTCCTTCATGAAGCTTTAACTTTTGAGGTCAAATAGCAGTTTTGCTTGGTAGCTACATGGTGTTGCTGTGTATTTTGCATTATACTGTATCAAATAGTTTTGTAGAGAGAAATAACTTGGAAAACTGAAAAAAAGGACAAGAAATACTAGCCTAAAAAGACAGAAATAGTAACTACTTTGTCTCGTGAACCTCTTAGATGTGGCTGCGTGATCTAAATCTACATTTTAAAAATTATTTGCTATATTGTCTCTGAAGTATTTGTATCCAAATGTCTGTAAAATAGATACCTTTTTCAAACCAATTGTGCTAGCTTTCAAACGCAGATGACAGTTATTTGAGGCTTACAGCTATGGTGCTATATGAATTTTACCTCTAATAGACAGTTAATTGCAAAAGTAGTGAAGATAATAGAAATTGAAAAGAAAATTAATGCAGAATTTTAAAGTCCTGTATTGCAGTAACATTGATTCTTTTTGTATGTGTAACTTCCAGCGAGTTATTGTTTTTAGAAGAGCTTTGTGGAGAGTAATGAAAAAGAGGCGAGACTTTCTTACAAGTACACAATATCTGCTGGAAAGTTCCTGGGCAGTCTAGAGCTTCTGCTGTGTACTGCAGTGATTCCAAGGGCTGCTGAAGAGTAACTAACAGATACTCTGTTGGAACAAAGTGGTTCAAGGTGTTTGTTTCCTAGAACACTTTTCTTGTCGTCTTTTTAATTTCTAGTAAGGCTAATTGAGAAATCCTATAGGAAGTTCTCATACATCCTATATTAAGGGATGTTTCTGAGTTTTGTTCCTGTTCACCAGCGCTTTGCTGGCAGCTGGAGTTGAGGAAAAGACCAGTAGAGACCAAGTAAAAGAGGGAACAGGAATTACAAGGTTAATTTAAAGCTCTGCTCCATTACTGAAGTAGCACTTTTTAAACTAAGGATATAATTTAAAAGCAGCCAAAAACATGAGAAAACTCTTAGGTCATTTTGTCACAGAAGCTGTTGAACTTGAGTTTTAAATATAAAGGTAAATATTTGCAATACAGCCAGTTCTAACAGCAGTTAGTTGTTACTTTTCCATGCAAGTGAGTATGTCATGAGTTTTGTGTACAATAAATTTGAGACCAAACTATTCAATCTTGAATACATCTGGCAATCTCAATCCTGCTGCTGATGAACAAATACCCTTCATCATAAATTGGCATTGCTGTGTACTATGTTAGGTAGGAGGGTGGAACTATTAGTGTGTAGGTACAGACCAATTAATGCTGCATCGCATCTGCCGTTTCCCTTGAGAATTTGGGGGTAAGGTTACAATGATACATATGTAGTAACTTTAGTCACTTGCAAAAAATAAATGCTGAACTTCACATTAGAGTTTCCCATAATGTATCTCATAATTTTAAGAGCTGTTAGTTTAGAATTTAAGTTCTGTGAATCTCATCCCCTTTTTTTCTTGGCTGATCATGTTTTCTTCGGTGGGAACAGACAGGATTGGGTGAAAGCAAATCCTTTTGGACTGGAACACCTCTCTTTATTGTCTTGACTCCCTTTCCATGTTTAAGGTATCGCCCAAAGCTGTAGTGAAGCTGCAGACAAGTGCTGTTTACTGTTCTGTTGACAAACCATTCTTGGCAGTATTACACAATGTTAGGCAAGCAGCCTTTAACAATATTCATTAACTCTGAGCAGCGTAGAGCATGGCAGTAGGTCTAACTTGTGCCATTTTCAAGCAGACTGAGAAGCTTCAGGTTCAGTCTAGGTAATTACTCGGAATAAGCAGGGGGGACCTCAGTTTAACCTCTGGCTATCGTGCTCTTCTGCCATTGCACAGTGATGTGTCTGCACTGGATATGAGCCTGGTCCTTGAATATACTGTCTCCTGGCCTGGACATAAATGTGCCACCCCTACATATGACAGACTGAAAGGGATATGGTTTCAGTATTAATTCTGAATGTCTGGTTCTTCTTAGTTTAAGGCAGGT